GTCGGAAGGGGTGTGAAAAACAGGAATAAAGCATTGCAGCAGGCATGGGATGCCGGCCTACATGTAGTCATGGTACAGGAACTATGGACAACAAAGAAAGAGGGGGGTTTTATAACAAAAAGTCACCCTGGCTATAACAGCCATATACCATTCGGAGGAATAGACGTCCGGCCCCGTGCCTTTACTTTCACGCGGAAAGGCATTCAGGCGACTCAATTCTTTCCATCGTCATCAGGCCCGACATCTAACTACTGTTTTGTAAAGATGGGCGGTCTGACCTTTTTCAACGTATATCGTGCCCCTGGCATTAGTAAAACCCTGGAGCCCCTGCTCCGGTGGGAAATTAGATTTCTAGTGGTCGTTGGAGGCGATTTCAATCATGTGTCGCAGCATTGGAAACCGCTAACGACAAATCAGTACGGCAATGGTAACCAGATTATGGAATGAGCATCAGATCATGACATGGATCTAGTCAGCATTGTCGGAGAGCCGACGCACAGGTATGGAAACGTGCTGGACTTGACTTGGAGCAACACAGCCGCGATAGCATCAGTCTCCACACGCTACCACTATACCTCAGATCACTCGACTATCGAGGGTATCGTATTAAATCCTACAGGGTCAGATCTCTCTGGAATTGTAAGGAGCATTCGGGTTAGTAACGCCAATCTTACGGAGTTCAGCCGATGTTTCAGCCAATAGACCAAATCTGGCCCACTTCACATTGTCACAGACATCGAAAATTTCACCAATGACCTCCTCAAAGCACTTCGAGATGCGGTGAAGATCGCGGGCAAGGTCACAGCCATCGAAATTGGGAAAACCAGTCCCTGGTGGAGCGATAAATGTCTCACTCAATGGCTGGATTACAAGGCAGTAAGAGACAACCCCGAACTTTCGTCTCAGGCACGGAAAAGCTTCAGAGCCGTGGTGCGAAGAGCCAGGCGAGAGTACTGGAAGAGGCAAGTGGAAGCAGTTACAACTGACGACCAGGTCTTCAAGCTCATGCGATGGGCTAAGCCTCGACCAGTAGCTGAGCCTCCTCTCTTGCAGATTGACAAAAGCTGGTGGCTATCTGACCCGCGAGAGCGAGCTAGTGCGCTACGAGACACTCTCTTGGCAAGATTCAGCGGCGAGAACGATATTTCAACCTGGGAGAGTTGACAGGAGGAGCGCATGTCATGGGATACGAAAGTATCACTTGATGATGCGACTAGCACTACCGTCTATGTCAACAAAACGGCACCAGACGCTGACAAGATAATGGTATTTCTACTTAAAGCCTGTTGATACCATCTAGAACCTCTGGTTAAGGATCTCTACCAGGCCTGTCTGAATATCGGCTACTTTCCCACGACTTTCAGGGTAGCAGAGGTTGTGCTTCTTCTCAAACCGGGACGAAATCTGTTAACCACCAAGTGCCGGCGACCGATTTCGCTGCTTTCGAGTTTAGGCAAAGGACTTGAACGTTTAGTTGGTAAGAGAATGGTATGGCTGACGATAAATCACCAAGTTGTTCACTCTCAATTATTCGACTCTGTACTAGGATGATCTGCAGTCGACCTTGCATCCTATGTAATCCATGGTGCTGAGGCGACCATGAGAAGTGGTAAGTGTGCGGCAATGGTCACACTTGACATTCAAGGTGATTTTGACGCAGTCCTTCACAACCGACTGCTCAAACGCCTTCTAGAACAAGACTGGCCACTATCCCTATGCTGATTTATTGTCACGGGACTAAGAGCTAGCGCCGTACACAAGGATATTAGTATAGATCCCTCCTGCAGATAATCTTCCCTTACTATTGCACAACGCAGTTATATTATTAAACCACCAGAACCTGACCCATAACCCACCGTGACATTTATTTAGACTTTTCTTTTCCAACAAAAAGCGAAGGTAAAATACCGAGGCGGAACTACCGAGGGAAAGATACTGGAATGTGGAGTAACTCAGGGCTCGCCACTATCGCCATTACTCTTTATGCTATATGTAGGAGTGTTATTTCAGGACCATAGTCTCACGAGCAGGCTTGGCTATGCTGATGATATGGCCATTATCAGAGTTGGAAAAACCGCGACTGAAGCCATCTCCGCACTATAAGACGACGTCGACACCCTCATCCTTCTCGCCAGAGAACATAGGATCGAGTTTGACCCAGCAAAGTCCGAACTTCTAGTGACCAAAGGGGGGCCTAGAAGGAAAATCAACACGGTTGGCCTTTCAATCATGGTGAGAGATCGTCTAATCGAACCAGCACCGCACATCCGTTGGCTAGAAATCTGGCTTGATACTCAGCTGAACTTCAAGCAACATTTACAGGAACGGACTGGATAAGCTAACCGTCTAGTCCACTTCTTACGACATTTGAACAGTGTTCAACGCGGTGCAGCTCCCGGACCTCTAATTTTTGCGATATATGCATGTGTTCTGAGTACGGCTCTATATGGGGCAGAAGCGTGGTGGTCGGGTCTCACTCCAATAACCTCTCTGCGAGATAAAGAAGTCGGCTCTGGAGCAGGCTGGCATATATCTCTGCTGGACAAAACGATAATGTAAGCTATCCGAGTAGCACTCCCAGCTTGGCGTACCACTTCCGATAGCCGAAGGCCCTGGAAAGCTCTACTTTCCACACGACTGCCTAGCATTGACTCCATGCAGTCGAAAAAGAAGCTAGGTCTAGAAGCATAAAGCGGTGGTTAGCTTCCCTTCCAGCTAACACAGTCTTCGCTTTCCCTGATGGATCATCATCGGGTCCCGGAAAATCATCCTGGGGGTATGTAGTATACCAAGGGGGCAAGCTAGTTGGGAGTGGTTGCGGTCCACTTCCCGGAGTAGAGGTATTCGACGCGGAGGTTGTTGGCGCCACGAAGGCCTTGGAGGCTGCACTAACAGTGAGAGAAGACCTACTGATTCGCATTCTTCTGGACAATCAAGCGGCTGCTCGGGCGCTTGAAAGAGAAAGATCTAAGCCCTCGCAGTCAGTTGTGGACAAGTTTTCGTCGCTGAGACATAATAGGCGTGTGGAAATACGCTGGATACCCGGTTATGTGGGGATTCAAGGCAATGAAGAGGCGAAAAGCTGGCCAAATCAGCCTTGAGATCTCTCAACAACTAGTCACTAACCATAGCTTTACTCAGTGGAGAATCTCAAAATCTAACCTTTGGGGCACTAAGGAGACTAGTAAAAATACGGGGTCAAGAAATCGTGGAAGAGTGGTGGCAGAAGTATCGGCCGGAACGATACAAAGATTTAGACCTCTTCATGCGCTGCAAACAACCACCGGAACTGACTCTACCAAGATGGGCGTACCACCGTTTAATTGCGGCAATAACTGGCCACGGAGACTTCGCCGACTACCATCGACGTTTTAACCCAGAACATGAAGATCTGAAATGCGTTTGCGGCCTAGAGAAAAGGCCCTGGCTTTTTCGAGAATGCCGACCCGCTTTGCAATGCTGGAGAAGCCGTGAAAAAATGGCCTCATCTGGGGCCAGGGAAATGATAGAGGAGAAGGATGTTACAGGCCGCGCCTTACATCCATGTACTTGTACCTATCTATGTACTAATCGTCGATGTTCTTTTATGGGATTATGAGTGATCGCCGATCCGATGGATATTAACCTCCCTGGGGTCAGAGCTACATGTATATATGTCCTACAGCCTAGATAGATATCATTTCCTAGATAATTAGAAAATAGACTGTATTACGGCCAGCTTTCTTTGTTCTTATTGTTTTGGTGATAGCCCATCACAAAGAGATGGCGGAAGTTCATCCAGTTCCTAACTACAAGCAGATGTCACAGTCTACCGAAGAATAAATAGGGTGGAAGGTGACCACGCTGAGATTGTTTCCAACTCGAGAGAAGCTGTTTTAGGAAGAAAGAGATGCGGCGCAGGGCACCATAACTTAGAAATTTACTGTACTTTTTTTTCATTTCTTTTATCGCTTCTTGTTTCACTGCCGGTCATATCGGTAGAAATGAGCTCTCAGATCCCATCTATCCGTGTCACATTAAAGATTTCAAATTCAAATTCAAAGGGTGGGAGATGCTCACCACCAGTACAAACGTAAGCGACATAGAGCCCAAGCCTGTAACAACGAGTGTGGCGCCATCTAGGCATAGAAACCCCCAATATACTCCTTATACCTACGCCACACAGCCGCTCAAGTATCCATTAGGTACCCTGAAGTGCAAACAAATTGCTCGTTGCAATCCTTCTACTAAACGCAAGGTTGTGTCGGGAACCTAGACGAAATGGAGGGCCCATACGTCCACAACACTCCGTGTCTCCATTTCTAACAGTATACAGAGGAAAACTATCTGAAGTCTATAGCCCAAGGTATCTTTGCGGCTACCAATCATAGAATCTTAAGCATACGATTATGTCCAGTCAATGGTCAAACGGTTGAGGAGAGAATTGGAGACAAGCTAAGGATCGGCCTTTGGAATTAATGCGATGGATTTTCGGATATCTAAGGGGTTACACAGTGGATGTTAAATTGTAGCAAGATAGATCAATTGCAGATTAAAAAGGCGGTCGGAATGCTGTCGAGGGAAAGAGACAGAACGAGCAATTCTGGGGAGTAGTAGACAGAATGTGATTGGCTTACATGGATGGCAACATAGTGTAACTGCACTTCCTGAAGAATAAATGGGAATACTAAAGCAAGTAAGCATAAATGTCTGGGGACCTTTACCACAAAAGGTCTTCTTCCCGTGTAAATATTGCAGAACAGGCACCTAAATCACATACTTAAGTCCAATCAAAAAACCCACTGCTTCCCGCCTATAAATTAAGGCATCGACAGTTAATTTGTGCATGGCTAAACAGAGACAAGATACCCGTGGTATGAAGAAAGCAGATTGCTCTATCGAAAGTGAATCAATAATCCATGCCCAAACACGGTCCATCATAGAGGCTACTTGCCTGGATCAACTAGCTAACGCAACTCAAATCACCGAAAATCTCGCTCTCCTAACTTACATCTATAACCATGGAGATTAGTGCTATCATAGACTGTCTCCCACCAAAAACAGACTACCTCACTTACCTTACCATCCTCGAATCTCATCTTTCACCCACGATATTACCAGATCTCAACAAAATCCTGCAAGATCCAGACCTGACGCAAAATATTGGATGGGACCTCGTCCACAATTTACTCCAATTTTCCGGCGCAGAACCATGCCTCACGACCATTGCTAGACTAGGAAACCCAAGAGAGGTTATTCTAAAAGTAACGGAAGCCTTGCAACTCCTCAGGCTAGACGCAGAAGACATCAAGTCCGATCACAGTGGGGAGATTGGGCCCACTACGACAGAGAAGTTTTGTATACTCGTTAAGCTATTATCAATCCTACATCCCAGAATCAAGACCAAGTATCCCTCTCGATTTCTCTCCACTTCACTAAAATCTATACTTGCATCGTATCAACCGTCAAATTCCGCAACTCTAGCACTTATTGCGTTTCTACATGCAGTTTCGGGAGAAAAACGACCATCATTACCTGAAAGAACTTCAGATCCTCCAACGCCAATCAAAGATCATTCCAGCGGCTCTAGTTCTGCCCCTGATCCTGAAGCTCAGGATGAAGAGCCAGAAGAGGCGGCCATTCAGATAAAACTTCTGCAATCTTTCATCACTCACATTTTGGAAGAGTATATCAACAAGAATCCACTCGAATGGGCCGCTCGATTACATGAATTCACTCACCCAAACAAGCTTGTAACCGGCAGAAGCCAAAGTGAAGCGTTTAGGAACGAAGTTGAACTTCAGTTGAGAGATAATGTGGTTGGACAGCTTGTAGTATGTATCATACTCGAATTGGAGAATATAAAGTCTGCTAACAATTTACAGGCTCTAGCCCGAGACCTTCAATTATCATGCTATGATACTCTTTTTGATGCTTGCTACGATAAAACATTACACACCTCGGAATCTGATTCGGCTGATAATTACCCCTGCTTCCCCGAAGACATACCATTGGCTAAAGTCGGTGCACTCTTCTTAATCACATCTTACATTTTTTCATCAGTAGTCTTTCAGTCTAAGCTGCCTCAGCCCGAATTAGAAATATTTCCTGGCCATGTAAAACTTCTCAGGAATTTCATTGGTGCTGATGGGGCTTCTGGGACTGGGGAAGAGGAAATCAGCGTTATTGATGCCATTCTCGCCATTGGTTTATGGCTCGAAAGTAACAATCGGTTTGTTGCCGAACCCTTGAAGGATGTCGATTTTTTCGAGCAGCTCCAATCACTTTCACTACTTTCTGCACACACGCCGTCTTCGTCCCTACGCTATGCTGCTCATTCACTTTGTTCCTCAATACTCCACGCGCATCCTACTGATCGTGTGCGACTTACTTTCATTTCTGATACATTAGAGAATTGTCCATATGAGGCGCTTAAAGCATCTGCAGTTTCATGGCTGAAGGAAGAAATATCTAACGCAACTGACCGGAACTCTGAAAACGTATTTTCATCCCGTGTTGCTATGGCAGCAACTCAACCATACCTCTTCCTAGATATGTCATCCCTAGTAGAAGTAGAAGGTAGTGAATTACTGCAGCAAATTATGCATACATTTGTCTTCCATATGGCTGTTCTCAATTTTTTAATATTCCTTTGCGGCCAAAAATATTTCCACGTCGTACCAGTAGGGATGCTTACAACTGCCAAAGAGATTTATTTGAAGCCCCTACAGGCTTGCCAGGAAAGGGCGTTAGTTCTCGCTCCAGAAAGTGAAATGAACGAAATTTTGATAGACCTTCAACTACTTGAGAATCGTATTCGCACTTGTGCCAGCCATATCGAAAAATCCGAAGCAAAGAAAGACGACCAAAGTTAATTCTTAACTACTAACAATGCATCATCAGCACTGGTCATATCCTTCATTGTGATCCTGCGGATTTTCGTCCGCAAATTACTCTGGACAAAAGTCGATTGACATATGGCTCTAAAAACTTACAAGAGTATGCTAATATCTTGGGAGTTAACGCCTCACAGATATTTACCATCGATGCCTTAAAACCCCTCATCACAAGAGTTCAGATGATTCTGAATTCTTGGGTTATCGGTAACTTCAGCATTTCAATCTTTTGACTATCTACTGCTTAAGTTTGTGGCCGTGAAAATAATTGACGTCATACGAAATTCGTCAAATTTACCCACACTTTTTTTCATGGTTATTCCTTGAATTACAAGTTGCCAATTTTGGGTCAAGCAAATACACTCTAGCCAACAGGAATTGCTCGTCGCTCTATACTTCAGTAATTTTCTAGTCATCGAGTACGATGTGACAAGAGTTACTGCAACAACTTATTAGCTTTAGAAAAACTTTGCTTTTAGCCCAGTGAGAACTTGGTATTGAAGGTCCGATAGTGCTAAATTAACTTTTAACTTTTCTGACTTCAAAATCAGCCCGGAATACATTTTAAATCGACATTTCCTGAGAATCTGCATCTCATGTAGCTTTGCCTGTGGGATCAGCCGTAATTTGTAGAATGTCTGACAGTTTATTTTCAAAAACTGGGTGCTGAGAAGGTATGCGTATTGAGTAAGCAAGTGTTGAATATTAACCCTTTAGAAAAATATCTTGCTGTGAGATCTTGTTTTATTTGTCTATTTGTTTTAACCTGTGAAAATTTAGATCTTCAGATAAAATTGCTTGTCGGATCGTGTTCAGCTCTTTTTCAGTAATTGACGATGAACAAGTCAGGTGGTTAGCTTCTCAATATTGCTTTGAATTTATGAGAGCCTTTTATCTCGTGTAATTTCTGAAAGGATTTGTTAGAGTATCAGTGACGAGACCTTTGAATAAATGGGAATTGATTTGTAAGCAGGTCTAGACTAGAGTCTATAGGATGCATCGTAAATGTATAACTTAGAAGTAAGCATAATAAGCATACCAAAAAGCTATAACCTTTCACCAGCAATGAAATTTTATGACCATATGTTTCTTCAATAACATTTCACAATTCCACGTAACTTAGTTACCTTTTAGGAATCATTATTACCTCTAATGACTCCCAAATCCATAGGTCAAAGTTTCGGAAGCCGCTTGAATTTTAAGCCTTTAATCTCATAACACCAATCACCTCTCTTGAAGGAATAAGTCAAAATTAGCTGACTCTCGGGCCGCGTTTTTTGTTGTGTTAAAAGTATACTCTTTTGTTTTGGTGGCTTTCATTTTCTTGTGTGGTTTTCAAGGAGGAAGAACGATCAGGAAGCTTCAACGTAGCTACGTCGTTGGTTCTGTCGGTGTAAGCTCTTTTCCATCTCTCCTGGACTTTGCGCCTTCTTTTAACTTGTCCCATCGCTCACGGTAACGAGATACAACATTTCGTAACTTTTCGTTCTCTCGCCTTAAACAAACAATTTCTCTGCCCCCGAGTCGTACTTGTTCCTCAAGCTCTTGGACACGCCTGTGAAAGGAATTATCCTCGATTATTCCATTGGTTATAATCCCTTGAGCCAGATCTTTTTGGGCTGGACTGATATCACGCATTAATCGCATACTTTCCGCGAGCGCCATACTATTTTGCTGGGCAGAAATCTCAAACGCATGCAAACGTCTAGAGAGCTTGTCAATGGCGGTTTTTAATGAGTGGTTTTCTGTCGTTAGTTCCTCAAGCTTATTATCTCGTTCTTTGGCACTTAACCTTGGCTTAGTTTCAAGAGAACCTTTTGAGCCTGTAAGTCTTGGTGCATCCCCAACATCTATTACAACTCCATCTCCAAGATCTTCAACAACTTTTGTATCCTTGACATGCGTGTTAATGGCCATTCGTCGCTTTTCTTTTTCATCAAAGGACATGATATGGGCGTAAGAAACATTACGGCTAGTGGCTGGAACAACGCAAAAAGAATCGTTGGTCACTAAATCGTCTCGAGAAGATGCCCTCAAAGAAGCCCGTGAAAAATATTTGGATAAATCAATCTCGTCAATTTGATTTTGATCAAGGGTCGAGTTGCGCATTTTGGTGAGTTGTGAACTTTCGGAGGGACAATCACCGGTGATTGTCCCCTCATTAATGAGAGGGAGTCCAGTAAAGGCAAGTGGAGCAGATATTCTGGAGAGTATATTTTCGAATGTATTATAAAATCGCCTAAAGCCCTCATCACTTTTCGAAGATTGGTCCGAATACCGAGCCTCTATATTAATCTCATTCTTGATTGAATTTTTCGTAACTCGCCTTGATACTTGATCGCCATTTCTAGGAACTGAGTGAACTTTTTTTTGTTTGCTATCTCTACGTGATAGGGCTTCGAGGCTACCAGGTGTCTGGTGTATGGAGATGCTGGGGCATAATGACTGCCTAGCATTCCTACTGCGTATACCTCTTGCAGATGCAAGGTTACTGGCAATAGAAGAGCTCAAATCTCGAGGAGGAAGTCTACGTGGATGTGGAAGTGCGGGCAGACTTCGTAGCGACGACGAAGATTGTAAATCTTGGTCCGAGTTTAAAGTTTGGACAACGACAGTTTTTGAAAAAGAAATTTGGTCTTTTTCGGTAGCAGTTTGGGATTCAGGTTCTGCATTTGGTGATGGGGTGTTTGATGGCGTGCGAAGTAATTCAGATAAGCGTAAGTGATGCTGCTCTAATAGTCTTAGTACCCGCAATGCTTCAATACTTTTTGTTCCTGCTGTTGCATTAGAGAATTCGGCAGCAGCTAGAGTGTGCTCATTGATCGCTATGGTTGTTTCGGAACTCTGGGTAGCTACAGAAGCAGCTCGAGCATGATCATAAGCCTACAGCCCAGTAAGTGGGGAACACCAGTTAAAAAGATTACGAACTAGTGCGAGTGGAGACGAATCCATTTCAGAGGTAGTATGAGGCACCGAATTCGATTGGACTAGCGACTGTTTTCTTGCTTTCTAAGAGATGTTGGGAATGTTGTTATATCTTGAAGCTGCTTGTTTCAAAGACGAGGCTACCACTACTCTAATTAGATATTCAGCCTTGCAGACGATGATGATTTGGTTTGAATTCATGTCGCACAAAGCTTACGACCTTCATCCAATAGGCGTGATACGAGTATATGCTCTTTGGGGACACACTACAATGGTGCCAAGATTTCAAGTTTTCAGTGGATTTAAATGGGGCGCATATTCGCTTCAGGGGTTGTGCCCCTGTTAGCACATATTTCGACATGGTACATAATTCTTATTCTGGATTTCAAGGCCTAAACCAAGGGCACAATTTGATTTCTTGTCACCCTCAGTTTTATGCAAATCCAACATGTTCTCTAATTCTTTGCCATCACTTTTATGATCGCCGACCGCTAAAAAGTTACACAGCTCTTCTCATCTTGTGCTTGAGTGACAAAAAGAATTTGATTTCACAAATATAAAGTTATTTATTCAGAAGACACATGGCTTTACTCGATACTAACCTTATTTTGCAGGTGAATTCTCCTCAAACCCCACCTTCAACACCTCGAGTCAAACAATTATCCAGATATCAGAACATTTTATTTATTCAAAAATTAACAAATTTGTCGTTCGGTTATATACACGTGTACGCGTACGCAATGGGTTTCTCACTGATTTTTTAATTTTTTTAAGTCCTAAGCTATGCTCAATATCTCCTAGGAGTCAAGGACCGGTGCACACGGCCAAGATCATGCTTCCCACATGCCCGAATCGGTCTTACAACGTGACTCACTACACAACAAGTAGCTAGTTATAATAAAGAAAATAAATGCCCGCACAAACTCCCATAACCTAAATTCCAAATCCCATACTCCTGTTTATGTTTGGAAAATGACACTTCTCGTCTCATTTTCCAGCCCGTCATGCTTCGTGGCATGATCTAGTTACTACTATCTACGCTGAGAGCTGAAGAAGGAGTCGCAGGTGGGCCCCCGAAGCAGCCGGTTTCCTGCGGAAATTTTTTAAAGTGTTCGAGGCACTTAGGCCCGAGAAGTTTGTGGGTAAAGTCGTGATGTGACATTGTCCCTCGTAGTCGACGCGTTTGGCGTACGTGCAGTCGACAGTGAATGAAATGGAGAGGTGATGTTTCCTCTCCACACGCACACTCCATTGAAGCGGGGATGACATGCCGCGAAGTTTCCGTGGCCCGTGCGGGCTGTGATCAGTTCACGGAGTAGCCGCCGGGAAAGAGTCTGCTCGCGTGGCTTGCGTCGTCGCATGAGGAGACCCAGATTTCGATACCTAGGTGGACATACTTCTTCCCGCCAGTCGTCGAGAAGCGCTTGACGTTTCCGGTTCATCAGACGACGAACGTACGCCAAAGTGACGGAGACAGGCTGGCTGTCTTTGCTTGGCAGTTGTCGGAGGCCGGATCGTGCAGCTCTATCTGCACCTTCGTTTCCCTGTATCCCGGAGTGGGCTGGAATCCACTTCACCGAGACTAAAGCCCTTTTCGATAGCGCCCTAAATTGGTGTACGTCGTCGAGGCTTGTTGTGGCAATTCCCGTCAGCAGTGCTTTCACTGCAGACTGACTATCCGTCAATACTTTGATCTGCTGCCTGCCGTCTTTTCCCCCGTTCTCCCCCTCCGACAATTCCAGCGCAGCTTCCAGGGCCTTCCTCGCCCCTAGTATTTCCGCATCAAGCACTTCACCACCATGCTTGATGCCACATCCCTTCAATAGAGTTTTTCCATTCCTCTTCAAGACGAACCCCCATGCTGAGCGACCATGCCCCTCCGACGATCCATCCGGGTAGGCGCAAATATCTGATGCCGGCACACTATCAATGAACCGAGTTGCCTTCTCTTCCTCCTCTATCCTTGAGTTGAAATCGAAAGAAAGCTTGGGGGTGGCAAAGGCTCAGCATCTTCCGCATCCGGGAGTTCTCGGTAAGCACGCTGTACTCGTGACATGTGGATCTCTGGATTCTTGGGCGCCCGAGAACATTTCTTGTATTTCCGTGTTCCATCGTTTGGACGCATAGCGGCGTGAGTCCAGAGTGGGTGACGGTTGTCTAGTGAGTGTAGCCGAGCCGAAAGCCGTAGTCGATTCCTTTCCAGAATGATCTTTCCTGTTGGGATACCTCCTTCGCGGTGGAGAACAGGATTCGGTGTCGTTCTCATTACCAGGAGGGCAGCACGCAGTCCCGTTAGGATTGCCTTATTGATCATCTCGCAGAAAATGCTAGTCCTAGGTGTGATGATTCCCCTTTTGGTCGAACGTTTGAGGCCGGGCCACCAAACATCTGCTCCAAAGGTTGCTAAGGGGACAATGCACGTCTCCACTGCCCGAACCAGTGCTGCAGGAGCAGCTCCTCGATATTCTGAGTTGAAGCGGCGCATTTGCTGGGCCACCTTCAGAGCTTTTCCACACCACGTCGTGACGTGATGTTTGAAGTCCAGTCGCGGGTCTAGGTGTACTCCTAGCCAGCGTATTTGGTCTGCTGGCTCGATAACCACACCGTTCACACAAATGCCCACTGGCTCCTCGCATTTCCGTCCGGGAAACTGAACTACCTCCGACTTGTTGGTATTGAAGGATACTGCGTTGGTGCTCGCCCACTACAGAAGATGGTCCACTTCCTTCTGTACAGAAGTGGCCGACTCGGCTATGCTGCGCCCAAATCCTAGTATCCCGACGTCGTCCGCGTAGCTGAACCTCATTTCTGCATTGCCGCTTCGCATAGGCTCTGCCATGTACAAGAGGAAGAGAAGTGGCGATATCGGCGACCCCTGCGGGACCCCACCCACCAGCTCTTTCTGCCCAGTTACCCCTCCGGAGTATCGTACTTGCACCTTTCGTTGTGCAAGAAATGATGTCGTCCATCGGAGAATCGAGTCAGGCCACCCCTGCTCTTGCATCCTCACCAAATGATTGTGAAGTACTGCATCGAATGCGCCTTGGACATCCAAAGTCGTGAATGTGGCCGCCCATCCCTGGGTGCTCGCCTCTTCGATGTCGTGGACTACGCAGTTGACAAGGTCGTTTGCCGACCTCTTAGGGAGCGCTCCGAATTGTTGGTATCCAACAATATTCAGCGTAACCGCGAGATGGGACATCCGCTTCGCCAATAGTCGTTCCAGTCCCTTACCCAAGCATCACAAGACGGCAATCGGTCTCCAGCCCTTAACTGTTGTGGGATCCCGGTTCGTCTTGCGTAGGAGCACCACTTCAGCCAGCTTGAAGCAGGATGAATGGATGCCAAGTCTGATACAGGCGCGGAAGAGAGTGCCAACAAATGGTCCAATCGTTTTCCAGCAGGTTTGTAGAAGTTCCACAGAGATCCCGTCCGCACCATAGGCTGTGTTAGCACAGCCTATGGTGCACATCCGTATCTCCTCGTCCGAGACATGGTCATTCCAGGGAATTCGATTAGTGCTTGGCGCATCGAGTGGCGGTAGATCGTCCGTCGCTTGGTGCCGTGCCAGAAGAGCATCTCGGAGTATCTCTGCCCGCTCAGCCGGATCGGCGTACATCTTCCCTTCGTGGTTCAGCGGAGGGGGGGTGCTTGCCTGCCTTGGCTCGGCCGATCGCATTAGCTTGAACACGGCAGTCGGTGTTGTGATTGCTTCAACTTGACGCGTCCGGTGCTCTTTCTTTGCCGCTCTGAGGGTTGAGCGCAGCTTCTTCGCATGCACCCATCGTTGCTCTGGAGTCACTGCTGCACGATATTCTGTGCGAGCTAGCTTGCATTCCGGAGTCCACCAAGGCGCACATTTGCCGTGTCTTGTGTTCCTTCGTGTTCCTGCTGCATTTATAGCGTTAGTAAGGGTGGAGCAGAGATCGTTGGCGTATTCGTTCGCCTTGCAAACCGTGTCCAGGGCTGTTGGCGGGTGTGTAAACTGCGTTACTGCACGGGCGAATCTCGGCAAATTGCTACGCGTTGCCCTGATTTGTGAAGGCTCCTGGTCCCTTTTTCCGGATCCAGTGGGGACTCGTCCTCGAATTGGAAGATGGTTGCTGGTTACGCACTCGTTGCGATCCACCCATGCTTGAGCTCCGGTGATGTTTGTCCAAGCAAGATCGAGCGTGTTCCCGGCTCGATGCGTTGGCTCGCCCACAATTAGACAAGTGAGATTGTGACGTTCCGCCCATCTCTCAATTTCAATTCCTTGTCCGCGTGGGTAGGTAGCCCCTGGTTGCCAGGCGCAGTGCACCGCGTTGAAATCGCCTGCTGCGACAGATCGTGTTGGTGGGTCCCAGCTGAGGAGTGGTCGAATCACTGTCAGGTCGTTCGGCTCTTTGTACACGTTGAGAAACGTGACTCCATTTACTACAACCCAGCAGTGGTCCGCTGTCAGGGGATTGCAGGGAAAGATTTGGGTTGCCGAGTGGATTCTCCTGTCTATTAGTGTATAAGTCACTGCCCTGGGTCGAACGTTTACGCCGCCATGTGGTATGTGGCAGTCGTAACCAGGGTGTGACTTTGTCTCCTTTGTGGCTTTTTTCCACGAAGGCTCTTGTATTAACACTACATCTACGCCTAGCTCATAAGCTCGGGAAAGCGCGATGTCGTGAGTTGAGCCTCCCCTACCTGCATTGATCGGCATAAAACTTATCGTAGGTGGGAGGCTGGAAGGGACCCGTGAGGGGCCCTTCAGGAAGACTCAACAGGATTCGTCGTTCCTGTGGCCGTGGCGTCGGAGGTGACGTTAGTCATCAGAACTTCGAAACTGTTGTTAGATTTCACTACTTCGGGTGAGTCTTGTGTCTGCCTGGCGGCCACTTGAGATGCTGCCTCAGCACGACAGACTGCAGCCTTAGCCCTTACAACTGCCGCTAGCTCGCATTGGCTGGCCATGCAAATGGTAGCCAATTGCTCTTTGCTTACCGGCCCTAACTTGGTTGGGCGCGCCAGGTAGAGTCGACTGTCGGACCTGTGTG